TGATTTGTGTGAAGATACACTTTAATGAGTGGTCTTAGTACAACGATTGCGTGAAACATGTGTTGTCTTGTACCTACTCTCATTTGCACATTAGTGCTTTTTTTTTTTTTTTTTTTTTCTCTGTCTACCTCTTTCTACCATAACCACGTCATCATAAATGACGATTTTCAGCACTCTTCTTTCTTTATTGACATTGACGAAGACTTACCATCTATAAGCATCTTTAATTATCTTTTTATTTTAAAAATAATTTTTTATATAAATAAAGAGTATTTTTATTTATTTAAAATATAAAAATATAATTTTTATTCAAATTTAGTAAATTCTTTAAATTTAATAAAAATACTCTTTATTTTTAAGAAAGAGACAATAAAAGAGAGTTAATAATAAATACATAAAAATTTGTAGTTTATAATTAAATTAGGTAGAAAGTGAATTTGACTTTTTAAATGTGAAAAATTAACTTACTCTCTAATTATATTTTAAAATAAAGAATCTGTTGAATTCTTATTTTTATAAATAAATTTTTACAATAGAGTTTTGATCATATAAAAAAATAAAAAAAAGTGCTTTAATAAAGGCCGAAATTTGTTTTAAAAATTTTGGATTAGAAAGCCATCCACATTGATCCCACCCCATTTGATGATGGTGGAAGAATCTTTGGAAGGTCACCACTCATTCTAAAGTTGGATGTGATAGCAACGCATTCCTTTATCAAAAATGGGCAAACGGGACTGGAATATAAGCCACTGGGCTTGATTGCCTGCTCGTTTATGAGATCTGAAATGGGCCAGAAGGCATAAAACCTACCCGTTTGATATCTCTGAAAGCTTGCTTCCGCCAATGGGTTATGCGAGATGGGCTAGAAATTGTTTGGGACCGGACAGGATGATGGATGGAGATATGTCTCACATCTAAAAAATATTACTTGGACAGTCAATCGGTAACACGAAATATAACATCAAAAAGGTGGAAAACAAATCTTCTAATAATTAAATATATATTTTGGTGGCAATTATTTTATGGATTTGTGAAGTTTATATTTGATGGGAATCTACTTCCTATTTGATTGGATCTGACAAGCCAGTTTTGAATTCTAACGCATCTAGTGATCAGGTCATCTGATCTAAGGCTTATTTGCAGAGTGTATTTTCTATGTTAAGAGGATGCGGCAGTATCACATTTTTTTTTTTTTTTTCTAGGTAAACTTACAGGGTGCGTTTGGTGTAGTATTTTGGATAAGATTTTGAGGATAGTATTGGATTGTTGGATAGGGGAGTATTACGAGGTAAATTTGAAAAATTTATGAAAAAGCCCTTAGGTTTACTAATTTAATTAAAGACCCTACTATATAAAATGACAAAAACACCCCCACCACCTGCAGTGTCAGATTCCGGCCGTCACCGTCGGAATCTGGCCTGAAAATTTCGTTACGGCACAGACCGATCGGATCTGTGCCGTAACGCATCATTATGGCCTTTTCCGGCCGTCGAAAAAGGCCAGATCTACGACCTGTTATGGCCGTCGACAGCCGAAAATGCCAAAACGATGGCCATCTTTGGCCGTCGTTGACGGCCAGATCGGTGTAATTTCGGCCATTTATGGTCAGAATTTAGGCCGTTGTACAGATTCCGGCTATCACCGGCGGTAGTTGCCGGAATCTGACAAGTTGGGTTGATGAGGGGGTTTTTGTTAATTTTTAAAAAAAAAAAATCAAGGGGCATTTAGTGAAATTAATAACCTTATTGGGTCTAAAAGTAATTAAAAAAATAGGGTAATATTTCTGGAATAGTGTGCCAAACATTATTTGGAGAATAGGATTGGGAATATGGATAAAAATAGGGAGCCAAACGCACCCACATATATCTCAATTAATCTTTTAAAGTCATAAAACTGGTGGTCAGGTAAGAGCCCTAATAGTCACTCCTATTAGTGTCTAGAGAGACTCGAACTTGAAATTATTTTTACTCTTTTATTATTTTTACTCTTTTATTATTAGGTTATTCAATGGTGTTCCAATACTTAACTAATAATTACTATTTGATTTCATTTTAAAAAGAGAAGTTTGAATTTTGAAATGCCGGTTTTGCAATTCCATATATGGTTTTTTTTTTCTTTTTTTTTTTTTTTGGACAATGAAAAGACAAATTCAACACAAGTGCAAGGTCAATGGGTCATACAGTGAATATAAAATGAATAAGATGAGATCTTAAAACATTTAAGTTCATCTCACCTTGCGTATGGGACACTAGAAGAAAGAAAATTGGTGTGAATATGGATAATATAATATAGAGATCTAAAGCTTGCACCTCACCTGCCCGCTTAAAGTATGCACTCTTGCCAAAATCCAATCCAACCAACCATTTTATTGTCTTTATTCATCTTATTCTTTTATAAAATTCAGTATTTATTTGTAAAACCTACAATTACATTTCAACCTCATTAATTTCACCATGTCTCATGTCTGCATCTATATTCACACCTCACAGAATTAATTTAGTGCACCTCCAGTCTCATTAATTTTACAGAGAGTATTTATGTCAACTTATGCGCACCTCAATTACTCTTCCGTCATTTAAGGGAATCAAACACCAAAGAAAATTGAACTTAGAATCTCTTGAGTAATACATCCAAGAGTTTATATCGCATCACCTGACCACCCAAGAGTGGTTATAGACAAAGATTATTATTGGTGCTTAATTTCCAAGTTTCACACATGGCTCCTTACTCCTATTCCTAAATCAAAAATGTCATATATAAATTAAACTAAAACTCACTTTGAAAATTAAGATAATATTCCAAGTAGTGAATAATTGATAATATGATCTAAAAAGACATAGAATAGATGATCTTTTTAAGGGAAAAGAAAGAAAGGCTGGCTAGAAACATCGATCCATGATCAAATAGACAAAACAAGCTTATTACCCTTTTTCATCTTTTGATATTTAAGCATTAATTAATCAAATGAATATAACTTTTGGTGGAATCAAATACATAGGGTAATTAAAAAATGCTATGAATGCGGTAGACTTTATCCTGTCACAAAGAACATGAGAACTTATCCCAAAAAAGGAAAGAGATAAGTAGATTGATTTTACAAAAAAAGGATAGATTGATAGAATGTGTCAGAGGAGGGGATACAATGAATTTGCTGGTTAATATATATAAATTCATAAAAGGTATCTCCCCCTTTCTAATAATCAAAGACATGCTGGGGATGTTGGGTCCTTAGTGGGATATCTCACATGGGTCTTTTTGCTTGATGGATTGACCATTTCATAATTTTTTAGTCATTCTTTTATACCCACTTTGGACTATTTTGGGATAAATTTAAGAGAAATGGATGTTAGTGAGGCATGATCCTTGAGACATCAACACTACTTTAACTCGATCCTGCCTTGGGAGGCAACCTACCAAGCTCCCACCTTCTTCTTTCTCATTTAAGTGTAGTAGTAGAAGACAAATGAAATTAAAATAATAATTGTTTTTTTTTTTATTATTATTTCTGATTAGTGGTGCAAAAGTGATTGTATTTAATTAATCTCCATTCCTTTTTGTTTAGGAAGCTCCTTTTTTCAAATCATATATTAGTCGCCAGTCTCACAAATTGCGACATCCGTTTTACTAATAGCTATACCAAAAGAACACAAGACACTATTATTATTGTATTGATTCATATTCTTATCACGTGTTGTATACTAACTGTTATTTCCTCATCAACTTTAACGTGTTGTCAAGATTTGTATTAATAAACCATATAATATAAGATACAATCGATGTACTCTGGCAAGTGAAAAGCCTTTAACTACTTTTGAGTGGTTAATTAAGTAGTTCGATAGAGACTCTTTGATGTATTATTCAAGAAGTCATGAATTCAAATTATTCTTCGGTTGTTAATAGGGGTAGCCACTGGAACTCTTACCTGATCAGTAGTTCTAGGATCCCGAAAGATTGGTTGAGGTACGCATAAACTGGCTTAGACACTCCGATCATTAAAAAAAAAAAAAAAAAAAAAAAAACTTAGCTAGGCTCATCACATCTTTACTCTTACCCAATAAAATTTGTAATTAGGTAATCTTAATGCATCTTTACTATATTGGAAACTTTACTCCCAAGACTAAAAGATATAACTGCTAATCTATTATGTAACTGTTGGCCCCCTGTGGGAGCCTTATACAACTATGCTGAAAGCAAATAGGCAAAGAGAGGCGAAAGGTATAATCAAAAGTCAAAACTTCAATTAACTCGCCCGACTTCTATATATCTTTGAATGTAGCTAGCCTCTGTCTTCTGCAACCGTTGAACTTCTTGATACTTAATCTGAGAAAGTAGGCCACCAAATTTTTGTGTGTCAGATTCAACCCTAGCAGAAAAAAGGTTCAAAACTTGCCGCGAGGGAAATCAGAATGGATAGGTAGATATGGACAATCAATTATCAAAGCATGCATTAATTAATCTTCACTTTTGATCATTACCCGAGAGTTAATGCGATCTTGTCAGCAAAAAGAAAGCATTATTCAAGTAATTATATAAGAAAGAAGAATCGATAGGAGATGCCGAGATGCGAGAATAATTGCTCTGATTTTTGTAAAATCGACCCATATGTAGATCTTTCAAATACATAATCAAAAGTTCAGGATAATTTGTTATTGCAGATATATAACCGTTAAACTTTTTCACCCAAATCCAATTAATTAGCCACTTGTTTTATAGAGTATACATATAATGTTCAGTGAACCGTTAAGAATTCACTAAATTTGATACTCTTTAGGCCCTTAAGTTTCGATAATTTTATCTAACATTCGTTTGCACGGACTGGTGGAGAGGAGATTATAGCTCAAAACTCAAAAGTTGAAGTATTAATTTGATGAAAGCATACACTACAATTGTTATGTGACATTAACAATGAGAACTGAACACATTCACTCTTTACAAACAAAACCACCAATTAACATTACCAACTAATACAATTAGGAATAATTAAACAATTCTATCTCTTTTCCTTCCCTATCTAAACATCTGCATATTTCCTAGCATTTGAGAAGGCTGGCATGATTTAGCCAACGAAGAGTAACCAACATTAGCCATTGTTGGTGCTGAAAATCCAACACCACCAATTGGCCTTTGAGCACCAGCTTGTTCCAACGTCTGCACCTGTTTCTTTAAGAATTTAACGTAATGGATAGCCTCATCTAACATAGAAGCTGTGTCCATTTTGCTTCCTCCGGGCACAAGTCTCTGTAGGATCCTTATCCTCTCGCTTATCCTTTCCCTTCTGTGCCTGGCTGCCACGCTCTGTGGATCCTTAGATATTTTCACGTTCCTTCTCTTTGGAGGCTTAATGGATTCAGGGTCTATATGGATAGGTTGCATTGCAGCTATACGAAAGATCATCTCTCTCATAGCTGCCATTGAGTTTCGTTTCTCTAATGATGGAGGATATGCACTTCCATTGGGTAATGTAAACGCATTTTTGAATCTTCCAGTGACCACATTGGGTTGAAGAGGTGGTGTCATGGGCTCTTGAATTGGAGTGCTTCCAAAAGGCATTGTTGAAGAAGGATTGACCAATGAAGGAGGGGAAGAAACGTTAACAGTTGGATTATGGTAAATGGTAGCATTATTATTGGTGGTGGTATTCGCAGTGGAGAAATGAATTTCATGAGGCAATGTGGGAGCCGTAGTATTGAACGGCTCACAAAATTCCTGAAGCTTTTCCATTTGCATAATGACTGCCATCATCTCCATTTGATCTTCTTGATGAGATGCTTTCATCATGTCAACATCCATTGAATATTTCACTCTTCTTGTGAATTGTGGTTGGTTTTGTTTGAGAGAGATGGGGAAGTGAAAGCAGAGGGATGGGGGAGCTGAGCCAACAGGTTTATGAGATAGATTATTGAACTAGGGTTTTTATCAGATATGTGCAGAGAGATAGGGAAAATGAAAAGTTGATTAAAACTGCCAACAATCCAGCGAGCATACTGGAACTGGAAGGCTTTATATATACAACTTGTGACAAATATTTTATTCATGCAGAAGCTCATAGAAAAGTCTCTCAAAACTCATTTATGATTGTATTTATGATATATGATAGTGACCGCCCATTATGTGGGGCTACCTCCAATCGCATATTAACCATCCGATCTGATTATCGAAAACTCAATTGAAAGGACAAATCCATAGATTTATGTGATCAGACCTCAAAATCCATCCATGCACTCGAGCCCACGAATTAAAGGGCTGGGATTAAAGTGATCTTTAGAAAGAAGATGCATGAACCAATTTATTCTGTGACCCATCGAGGGAAAGGGTTTGCCTAGTCTTACTTTTCCCCTAAAATTCACTTTGTTGAAAAGCAAGAAAAAAATAACCATGAATGGATGAACCCCACAATCACATGATGTTTGTCAGAACATAAGCAATAATTAATAAAATTAAGCCTTTGGATACTTGTATATACAATTTTAATACTTTCCAATGGTCAAAAAGAATAGATTTTGATTCAAATCTTGATAAAGATTGAAACAGTACTCACCACCGGCTGCCGGTGAAAACTATTGATTGTGGTTTGTCAGTAGGTGTAAAAGACAGTTGACAGAGAACTGTGAAGTCGGTTAGGGTGATTGGGGGCCTACTGGACTGTATTATCCTGGCTTCTGTTATATCCTGATGCTTGGTTTCTTTGCTCCCTTTGGCACACTTTTCAATGTGGATTAGGTAATACAGTAAACCTGACCTTCGTCCAACTTCAATAAGTGCACAGTAAAAGCTGTATTTAATTTTCTACTTCTTGAATAGAATGGAAGCAAAACGTTGTTCATAATTGGTAACTGTCTTTCCCATGCTTAACTTCTTTTCAGTTTGCATCAAATTGTATAACAACTTGGGAAGATAAAACTGAAGCTGAAATGAAGTTCTGCTCCTACTTCAAAAGCCATTTTCGAAAAAGTTCTTGTGTAACAAAATGAGCATAAAAGAACATGTTCCCTTCTAAAGAGATCCATCTAGACTTAATCTGTATCCGCAAGGGAGAGGATTGCCTAAAGTTGAAAGGTTACTTTATTCTCAAGGTTTCACTGATCCTAACTACTGAGAATGCACGCGGAGATATCTGATATTACCCTTACTGAACTGTGGTTTTATGCTTGAACAATATTTAATGAAGAGAGTTTTCCCTTACGTCTGTTTCACATAACCATAATAAACTGAGGACTGTTTCAATATATATTTAAGAAACCAAAATAAGCTGATAATTACATTGCTGATCAGAAGTGGTCCCTTTTTCTTTCTGGATTTCTCTTTATTTAAGCATGATATTCTTCACCCCAATCTATTGGATCATTTAATATTTACTTAAAATTGGATAAGCCAAAAGCGCTGTCTAGAATTGTATCTTTTGATATGTTTAGCTCTAATTTTCTTAAAGCTACTGTACAAAGAACCCAAACCGACCTATCCAAATTCTATTGACTTCTTATTTGAAAAATGATAGCAACAGTTCATAGATATATGAATGCGCGTACTTGGTCGACCCTTCCAATTTAAAACGAGCTTGCTTCAGTGCAATGTATTAGATTAGATAGATGAACATAGATATATGGGTTGAGTTAAACTCATTAAATTGAGATGGGAGTAAGCTAATATGGGACGGTTGTTGTGTTCACAGGGAATGGGAGGAATATGAGACAATAAAAAAAATGGACCACAGACAGATGAGATAATAATGGTCACACTGAGGCATGATTGAATTTTATCAAACCAGTTGTCATGAATGATTTTCTTATGGATGGATTCGATGCTGCTGATAACCATCAATGCCAAGATAATAATGTAATCAAAACCGAGATAAAGTCCACTACGTGTGGGAATCCAGGAACTAAGAAGGCTCAGGGAAAAAGGTCTGCTGCTATTCGTTTATTCAAATGGAACTCATGTATCCCATATAGCAGTTGCTTTAGTCGCATGATCTGTAGTATATATTTGTGAAAAGCTGCTTCTGTATGTATTAAAGTTCCCAAGTACTCAGTTTGTTCAGAAAGAATTTATTCTCTTCTTTAATTCCTTCTTTTGATTCTAAATTAAAAATAGATTTGCCCTCTATAAAATTTGAATAATATACTAACTAATATACTAACCTTTATTAAAATCATATATAGTATCTATACTATGCACATAATACCTATACTATGCTTTAAGTTAGTACACCAGTTTGTAGAATCTATTAGTGCCTATAACATTACCCATAAAATTTTGTAAGTTGGTTCACCATTAATGAATTCTGACCTCTATATTAATGATTCAATGCGGAGCAAATTTCTCAATGATATGAAATATAAATAACATATAATAATTCCAAATAGCCAAACAACAAGCACCCATGGCCTAATGGATAAGGCGTCTGACTTCTAATCAGGCGATTGTGGGTTCGAGTCCCACTGGGTGTGTGTGCTTAAGGAATCTTTTTAATTTCTTCTTCTTTGGTTTTTTACAGTTAGGGCCAACTAAAATCCTAAGAGAGGCCCTTCAGCTAAAATAGCATCGCTCCACTTCTCAATCTATGATAGGCAAGTTTTATGGGCTTTGAAAGTAGAATCCAATGAAAATGGGTGGGCCTCTTCCTACTTTGCAAGTGAGTAGGCTTATTTAAGGCCACTAAATAGTAATAAATATATATTAAGACTGGTTTTTTTTGCCCCATGATTGAACTGAAAATACCATACCTTTTAATAATTTTTACAATTACAAATTTAACCCTGTATGAAATTGTAAACTTACCTTCGATTTTTATTATTTGCATATGCTTTTTGATACTCCACTTTTATATGAGAAACCCTAATTCTTATATACTTAATCAAATAATACTATGACAAAATTGAAATACTTTTTATAACTAAAAAATAGTAATGGAGGAATAATAACAATGGGGCTAAATAGCATACGAGAAGGCAATGACATGCTTCCTCTTTTAAAAGAAAAAATGGCTAGAAGGAGGGATACTTATAGAAGTAATGGGTTTCATAAATAAAAAAAATTAATTTTAAAACTTTTAAATGTGGTATTTTAAGAAAAGGGGTTTATTCAGTTAAAAAAAAAAATGGAGACCAAGAAACTACATTTAAGTGGCTGAGTGATTCGATAAGGACTATTTAATGTATTACTCAAAAGATCATGAGTTTGAATCCCTATTCAGTTGCTACTAGGAATAGTCATGGGAGCTCTTATCCGACCGATAGTTCTAAGATCTCGGAGGGATCAATTGAAATACGTATAAAGTGGCCCAGACAACCTCAGTCATAAAAAAAAAATGGAGACCAAGAGAATCACTCATTTATAAAATGAGTTGAATTAGAATTATTGTTACTTTAGAAGAAAAAAAAAAAATTCAATGGACTTAAATAATACCAATCTTTGCATGCGGCTTACTATTGTCCATTTATGACAAATTGTCAACTTAAAAGGAGTTGTAATGTCGTTGTAACAAGAGTAAACGACTTTTTCCCACCCAAGGTTTGCCTTAATAACATTTTCCACCCAAAAAGTTTTAAAATATCACTTTCTCACCCAAAGGTAATACTCTATTACTATCCAAAGCTGATTCTAGCCGATCAGGCGGCGAAAATTCTCTCCATCACCACTATTTGAACCTCTGGTCTCCATTCTACAAAACTCTTCTCATTCTGATATCTGATTTCTTGTTAATTGTCGGTCACTGCAAAGCTAAGGTTTCATGTTCTTAACTTATTTCTAACTGATTCATCAGTCACCACCATTTGATCCATCGGTCTCCACTTTACAAAACCCCTCTTACCATAGTTCTGATAACTTGTTGAACGCTGGTTAAGAAAGTGAATTGGATTTTGGATGTTAATGGAATATAAACTTTATGTGGGAAAGTGGTATTTAGGAAAGAGAGCTTTTCACATTTCTATAAGTTCATGCGAAGAACTACTCCTTTGGTCTCTGGTTGCTCTCCTCACCTTGTATGGATGCTAGTTTCACGAAGAAACACTCAAGAGTAGTGATCTTTCTTTCTCTAGTCACTTGTCTTTCTTCGACTGGAGATTTTTTTAACTTACTAGTTGGGGGAATGACTGACAGATTAAAATCATTTTCTAAGGTGAATGTTAAATCAAATAGAAATATAACCAATTAAAAAGGGTAGTTTTGGATATGATTTGCAAAACTTAATTTAATTCATAGATCTTACTTAAATTGGGGTTCAAAAAGAGATTTTGTGGGGCATAAGCCTTAAATAACACCACTCTTTTTTCTTTCTTTTTTTCCTTAATGGATAACACTATTTTGCATTGGGAAACATTTTGGCCCCCATTAAGTTTAGAGTAATACTATTCATTTTAAATTTTTGTCCCAAATTTCACAACTCAGACGATGCATCGTTATATAGTCTCTATAATTGTCAAGTACGTAGCCAAAAATAAAATATAGGGTCAAAGTTGAAAGAACAATCACGATTTTAAATTAAAATAAGTACAAGTTTTGTATTTATAGAATTCTTATTAACTAATACATTTATAATTATCCTTGATGTGATATTTTGAAAACATTGTATAATTACTTCATTATGAATTCCAAGAACTCATATTCTCAAAAAAAAAAAAAAAAAAAATACAAAATCGACCAATACATGTTATTGGTCTCAAGGCCAGCTCTAAAATAACTTTAAAAAAAATTATCTTCTCACTTCCTCTAACTTTAATATATCATCACAAACAAAAAAGTGGATATAAGTTGTGGTCTCAACAGAAATTTCATCTTCCTAAATCATA